CCCGACATAGCCCCTTGTGACTTTTGGCTGTTTCCAAAACTAAAAAAAACCACTCAAAGGACACCGATTCGATGACCAAACAACGGTTGAAAACAATGCGACGAGTGTACTTAAGGCTATCCCTAAAAGTGAGTTCCAGGACTGTTTTGAAAAGTGGAAACATCGATGGAACCGTGTTATTCAATCAAGCGGGGATTACTTTGAAGGATGCCACCCACCAGATGATAACAAATAACGCTAGCACGAAAATATAAAGGTAGGCCCGATACTTTCCGGACAGACCTCGTATATCTCTATGATTTTACCTTTGATGGAGTCGATAACGATGGCTTGGTCTCTTGAAATGACTCTTTCTTACTGAACAATATTTCAGAACAACTTAACCCGTAAAGGCCCAAAACACCACTCACACATCATTCTTCGAGGGCTTATATCTAGTGGTAATTGCATTGAAAAAAAATCGTCAGGGACATATTTTTATGTTCGAGATATGCTCTTTCCAATGGTGCAATCAGAATTTCGCTAGAAAATTATTAACTATGAAAAAAATCAGGTTAAACAAAAAAAAACGTGATTTTTTCATACTCATTTTTTTCGAATTAAATTTCCAAGATGTTTCTCGTCTAGAATGTATTTGGAACCTCTCTAACCGGCGGAATAAATATTTGAACTTTGAGAAAATATGATTTGCGAATCGATTTTTCCCCTTAGTATTTTCAAAATGGCGCCTGGAATGCAATTTTTTTTTTGGCTTGAGTTCACGAATTTTTTTCTTGAAAAATATCAATTTTGTGCATCAATGACCAAGAATAAAAAGTTCTTAAAATCGTTCAAAGAATGGACCTGAATTTTTTAAAAACATTCGGAGCAACTTTTTTAATTTTGCAAATTTCAAAATTGCAAAATTTCTCCAAACACTTTGAAAAAAATCACACATATTCTATGAAATATTTTAAAAACTTTTTATTTCTAATAATTTTCCACGCAAATACTTCTTTTCCAAGAAAAAAAATCCTCAAGATCAGTGATATGGTTAAACTGTGAGTAAGGTAAGTTGGAGTTTTGAGGCTCCATTGTTGTAGAAGTGTTTCTTGTCAGATTCACTTCCACAGACATATTCAGACTTCACTAATAACCAGACAGCCTATGCTCAAAAGGAGCAATAGGCCTCGGGGTCACGTCACACGTGTAAACAGAAGGCACAGTCTCGAGCACGAGCGAAAACACATCTACATACATTGTACAACGTCTAAAACTGAACTGAACTAATCAATGATAATTGTACGTATTTATGTACGTATAGCTTTATTAACCAACATTGTAGATATAATCAACGAAGGTAGATGTATAAGATAAAAGAGCAAAAATAAAAAGTAAAAATGTTCGTTAATATGATGTTTGTCAATGTCGACTCTACGAGTACAGGTTGATTTATCGAACTGACAATCCTGTGATAGCTAGCCTAACTGTGGTATTTTGTGATATAAGTATTTGATAATGCATTTTCTTTACAATGAGATAATTTGTCTTTCTCAATCTACCTTAAAATATTAAAGTTGTCTTTGTTACATTTTTCAAAAAGACACCTTGATGCTTTATTAGATCGCGATTAACACATCTTTTATTGTTTTTAGAGTTTTCCACCAGGGCCAATAATGATTCCATCGCATATGATTCCACCGATACGAGGACCAAGAGCAGTGCCAATGATTCCGTTACGACCACCGTGTCCACCTAGATTCATTCCACCGCACACATTTCGAGGACATACCATATATCACTCTCGTAAGATTATTTATAAATTTCAACTAAGATCATTTGAGCTTATAATGAAAAATATCTACAAAAAAAATATTCTTTTTATATTACAGGTGATTGACGATACATTGATATTAATTGCGATATTGTAAATATCATTAGTATTTGTGACTAAAAGTTTTTCATGAATTTTTACAAATTGTTTTGCTTTTAAACAACTTTTGGAAATGTTTTTCGTTTCAATGTAATTTTATAAAATAAATTCTTTTTCACTACTAGTATCTACTATATAAACGCTACAATATTTATACATTTTTCATGTTTAGTTTGCACAAAAGAATTATTTGAACGAAGAGTTGATCTGTTTTTTAAAGTCAAATCGGTTTTTATCATTCTTTCGAAAGAATCGGTTGAAAAATCATATGACTCGACACACTCCTTAACATCATATGTTTGACCTTTACCAAAATATCTATTTTTCGAGATTTTAAGTGATTTTCTCGTAAACCTATTTTTTTTCTAATTGACGATTAAACTTTATAACTAGTGAGTATTTTTGGTTTATATGTTCTAGAACATATTTTTCTAAAACAATTGTAATATGAATATACTCGATACTCGGACAAATTTGATCTAACATTCCTTTGACTCCTTTTGTGATTCAAATATATAATCATTATATGTAAACAATGATCTCAATTAAGAACATTATAAATTAAATGCAAGTGTTGGTGAATAATATAGGTTATGGCACTTGTTTATAATATTTTTCTGTTAATCTAACAAATTTCTTCAGCAATTTTTCAACTTTCCGTAATTTATCTATCAAAATAGACATAATTTTTAATAGATAAATCATCTTGGCTAATAACTTCTAATGTTTTGTATAATTTTCAAAAAATTTATTTTTCACGCATTCTTTGTTCTTGAAAATGTTAAGGTCTCATCTCTTACATATTTAATATTCTTGGTGGACAAAATCTAATAAAAATTTGATGATTAATTAATGAATCTTGTATGATCTCCTCGTTCAAGACGAATCGTGGTCGGGCAAGCTACTTTTTTAGGTTTGGGAATAAATTAAGTCACTAGAGGCCAAATCTGGTGAATACAGTGGATCGTCTACTAATTCGAACTTCAATTCCTTAATTTTAGCCATTGAAACTAAACACGAGTGCACTCGTGCATTGTTTTGATGAAACAGAATTTTTATTGTTCAAATAAGGACGTTTTTCCTTTATTTTCTTGCTTAACCGGTCCAACAACGACGCATAATACTCTCCAGTGATTGTTTGTCCTTTTTCTAAATAGTCAACGAAGATAATTCCATGTGCATCCCAAAAAACGGTGGCCATAACCTTGCCGGCCGATTTCACTGTTTTCGATTTCTTTGCTGCTGGTTGATCTTTCACAATCCACTGTTTTTTCTGTTTCTTCATCTCACGAGTGTAGTGGTGTATTCACCTTTCTTCTACAGTTATGAATCGAGGCAGAAAGTCGTTCGGATTACGGTGGATGCGCGCCAAGAGGGCCTCAGCGGCTACCACTTGAGTGCGTCTGTTCTCGACTGAGAACAAACGTGGCACCCATCTTGCTGAAATTTTTCTTATGTCCAATTTCTCATTCAAAATCGAAATGACTGTACCTTTTGAAACCCAACCCCTGCAGCCTCAACTATTTCGCGTAATTTTATTCTTAGGTCACTCAATACCATGTTGTGGATTTTATTGATCATTTCCGGAGTGCTCACGTCTACAGGACGGCCTGAACGATATTCATCCGCAGTCGATGTACGGCCACGTTTAAATTAATTTACCCAATTGTAAACAGTTACAAATACAGGGGCAGATACACTATGAACTGCATCTAACTCAGCTTTGATTTCTTTCAGTGTAAGGCCTTTAAATAGAAATGTTTTATCACCGCTCGGAACTCCCTTTTTTTCATTGTTAACAAGAAACAAAAGTTGTTCACTTTGATCGACGATAAAAACGGAACTACTCGATGGATCTGGCTGAAACTTCGGCAGTACTCTATTTAATAGTGACGCTGGCTGGTGCAACGTAAGTTGGGATGCTTTGAGTGTCATATCTTGGATTTTCTAAGGATTTATTGACCTACATATTGTATTTCACATACAGACAATGCGGATCATAAATTTCCGTCTCTAAAATTGATTTTTGTAAAAGAATATAAGTGGCTTTAACGTAAAATGCAAGATCTACTAAGTATTTATCGGATACAATGTCTTTTAAGCATACTAAAGCATACTAACTTCAGATCGCCATTCTGAAAATTTAAACAAGCTTTCGTGATCCAAAGTTCATAGTGTTGGCATCTTGATACTGCATAAATGCTCGCTTATCACATTTTCTGTGCCAGAGAACTAATATAATATGGTTTATCTGAAGAGTATAAAAGCATGCGCATATTCTATGCTGTGACTTCTAGATGCGGAGTTTATCGACTTACCTTTAATCAGATTTAATCAAATGGAAGTGTTTTAGTACATCAGCACAGATGGTCTTTTGACTCCAATTCCTCTATGCAGAATAAATGTTTCCATAATTTCTTCTGTTGTCTCTTCATCTATACGTAATTCTCGTATAATATCTGCAGTAAGAATGGATTTCACTCGATTATCGATTAATGTTCCTCCTTCTTTACAAGAATAGCAACCGAAATATTACACCGAGTATCTTTTCTTTTTGTTGAGACAGATATACCGTTATCCTTCTGCTTTAAGTTCCGATTTCGAATCTAGATTGATTAGTGCCTTATAAGCCCTTTTTCTATGGCTACTTTAATACTGTTTAAACTAATAATAATACATATTTTTCTTATCACTGCTATTAAAATTATTATTTCTGATATTGACAGCATTTTTATTCTGATCGATAAATTATTTAAGATTATCTATATTTTTTTGATAGAAATCCAACTTTTTTTGATGCTGTATCTGAAAGATAATTTTTGTGATATCGGTTATGCGCACTTGGATGTTGCGCGGTACATTATGCGACGTCGCGTCCGTCACAAAACTAATTAACATTGATTAACTGTTACTTCATTGACAATATTGACATTCTCTTTGTGACGGACAGATCTGTGCACAATGTACTGCGCAATATCTAAGTGTGTATGACCATCATCACAATAAGGCTCCTAGACCCTGACTATTATACTGGAGGAAAAAATGTTTTCAGAGCGAGATAGTATAAGAACTGAAGCAGCGAGCGCAGCGAGCGTCGAAGCTTTCATATTCCGCGAAGCAAACATTTTCTTCTCCGATGTGAAGGCGCTTGTTGTGTTATCAAAACCATGCCTTCGTATATTCATATATATATACGAAGGTCTCTAAAGGGGGAATACCTATGTGGACATTACCGTCTCTCGCATATGACTTGACGTGGCAGCACCGTCAGAAGCATCAGCTAAAGCCTCGGAATTGGCTCTCTTCAGTTCATTTTAGCAAGATGGCGAGTAGCTACATTTCAAGTGAGTCCTGCTTCTTATCTTTCGATGATTGCTTCGATTACCAATACTAAATTTTAACAATGTGTAGAAATTATTGTAGGGGCTATATATTGTACTATATATTGTATATAGTTGTCTGCATAATGATATGTTACCATGCGTAACCTTCTATGGTATTTGCCAAGCGATATTTCTTACGGCCAAAAAAGTATCCACCATTATATTACGCACTACTTACAAGAAACATACATTTTTATTCCTGTTTCTTGTGAATAATTCTTTAATTGTATTTGAAAAAGTCCTCGGTTTTTTATTATAAGCATTAATGTTTCTCCGAAAACGAGTCATGCACAGGAGCTTAAGTGCTCCAATCGTAGATCCGAATATATTACTGATTCCATCCCTTATTAGGTCAACCTCCGCTAGTATAATAGTGATTGATATCGTTGAGCACAGCTATTATTAATCGTATACGGATATTGATGCGAATGCTTTTTCATTGGCAGATGATTCTTTTCGCCTGAGTTATACCCGCATATGCGAGGCCAAGTGTATATTAGCTTATGCAGGTATTTGCTTGCGAAATATTTCTCAAGCACGTAATCCATTGATAAGCTCGTTCATTGTCGATGGTCGTGACCGTGAAATTTTTCGGCTGCATTTCCACTATAAATGTAACCTTAATTTAATTACGGATTAATGGAAAATTTAATGGTACTTACAAAAATAACTTGGAGTTGTGCATTATGATTCAGTTTACTCTTCAAAATAACATAATAACGTCAAGAAAATTGAATTATTTAATTTTTATAAGTAAATAATAATCTAAAAACTTTGTTTAATGTTCTTGTTTGTAGTTGACAGTTCAAGAAATACAGATACTATTTATTTTAATATAAAAAAATTAATTGGACACGGGAAAATTGTTATGCATCTGCAGCATAAGCTACGCTGGACAGTGAATATTTCTCTCTTCATTCCTACTGCCAATTCGCACACGTTAAATCAACATTTTTAAGAAAAAAAAAATTATAATATAACTGCTTTTTATTTTTGTCTACTAGCGTCAACTTCCTAACAGTTCAGTTTTTTATGATGCTCATATTTATTTGACGTATTATCTTGTGCAAGTACTTATCTCCACAACGAAACGACAGTTTATACCTACACTGTTATACTGTTTTAAATCGATGATGCGCGGCGAACAGGCTGTCCAATTTTCTTTGATTTCATAAAAAAAATTTCCGCTTTTTGATAAAATAGCTTCGGAGGGGGGGGGTGTAGAAATTTATGCAGTTTGTCAGAGTTTGACAAACATTATGGGCTTAGAAATGTTTTCCTGTTTTTACCAATAGCATTTTGATCTGGTGTAACTTACACATCGCATATTTGCCGAAATCGCGCTTACTTGTACTGAAAATGATTCACGGTGCAGATAAAAATCGCAAAGCTGTCAACCGTATTTCCAAAAAATCATACGGATTAACGCAATAAAGTATACCGACAGTTCAAACTAAAGAGAAAAGAAAGTAAAGCGTGTAACAATCATCCAAAATAAACGCTTTATTCGTGCAGCAGCCGGCCTCGGCAGTTCATCATCCGACAAATCAACGGCACGAGCGAGAACATCGCGCAGCCATACTCCCCGGAGGATAATTAAAATAGAATCGGAGGGGCTTGCGAGAGCTCGCACGGGCGATGATTTAGAAAGTGAAAAGTGGGTAAAATTGGCTGAGCAACACGAGTCTTCTCGGAAACGACTACTGTGCTACACTGGCAAAGAAAAAGAATAACGAAGTGAATGCGCGGGTGTCAGGACGACACGTTGCAGGACACGTCGTTGCAGTTGCCGCGACATTCTCAAGGGAGATGAAAGACGTGGGATGTAATTTTTATTTAGCTTATTTGCTTTTGTTTGATGACTGGTGGAAGCCACGCGGGAAGTGAATTAATTTTCGCCTTTAACTTTCTTTTTTGTCGGGGCTAAGTACGTCGATAGATTTGATTGACCTGATTTTATTTCTCAATCAATTGATGGTTCATCGTTCATAATTAATCATGCTTCTTTATAAGACAAGCATTTGCAAACTGTTGCATATAAAAATCAAAGAAAGTGAGCAAACAATGAAAAATACACTCTGCAACGATTAGCTCGCAATTAGGTCGTAAATGGAGCACGCGTGCGAAACTTGAACGGGCAAAATTTGCGTGTCCAAGTATAATATAACTTTACGATACTCTGGAAATACGCGTAGTCGATAAAATATTTCCAAAGACACACCCGAGTGATTGTCGTCGCGGTGGAGTATATAAAAGCTCGAGTAGGTGCATCGCGCACTAATAACTCGTGTGGCTATGGCTAGATGTAGCCGTCGGAGCGTCGCGACGGCTACGTCGGTCTTCACAGTTGCATGCCGTACCGTTAGCCAAAATAAAAGAGCGCAAACGCGCGTACCCAGTGGTTTATATGTCTCGCGAGTCGCGCAAGCCGGTCAGCTGTCCTCTCGTGAGCTTTTAGCGCGCGCGATTCACTTGATGGCCCACTAATATTAGCGACCTCCCGTGCGTTGTCGACCACTTTTATACGAGCAAGGCGATGATTATTTTTTCGTTTCTTTTTTTATGTTGTGCGTGTCACCCTGAATGATGCGATTTAATTTGCCGGCTTGAGTTTTGTTTTCGAAAGGGTTTGAGAGGATGTTCAGTATATTCGGCATTAAAGATGCATCTAATTTTATTTATAACTGTTCGATTCGTGTTGGTTCTGCTTTTCATGTTAGTGCGCGTGTCACATATATAAAAGGGAGGAAATTTTGAAATGGTATGAGTATTTCTTGTACCATTTTTTTGCAGCAAACCAACGCTATTAATATTAATAGGCATGATTAAATACGTTAATTCGATTATCTGCGTTACTCGACAACTTTAAAAAATGATGGAGCAATAATAATTTCTTATACGAGTACAACGTATTGCCGTGATACCACATGGAACGCCGCGCGCCTTATGTCGTGTGCAGTGCCATTGAAATAAAAAACATCTATAATAATTTATGAAGTTTGCTCGAGTAATCAAGAACCCGTGTTTGTGGATAGAACAAATCGATCATTGAGATTTAAAAGAAGAAATCACCAAATGCAGGCAACGTGTCTTTCTTTACATAGTGCCACGCGCATATAAGGGATCGTCGCAATCTCCCCTTATTGCACACGTTGATCCGGATCCCCGTAAAAAATCGACCGTCATCAGTCAATAAAACTCGAATAGTCATTTATATAAAGTAAAATCGTATAAACTTACAATATTTTCGTATTGAAAAAAAAATTCGGTCAGAGTTAACAAGAATAACATAGATCCCTTATACGCTTGAATCGATCTATATATGCGTTTTTTTCTCCTTTCAGAGTTCGTTCTAATCGTCTGTCAATATTTGCATTGACTTTGTGAAAGGCACGAACGCTTGGAAAATCAACGAGGCGAACGTGTGGCTCTTACAGATTTTTTTATCACTATGCATCTGCATAAGAGTTGACTGTTCACTGTGTAAATCTGATTGCCGTTAAAAGTACATTGCGTGCTTTGTTGCAGTTCAGAAAATGCTAACAATACAATTCGCATGCTTGATTGGTATATATTCTAAACACAAGGTTCTTCTATCACTAAACATTATTCACGTGGATACCTAATAATTTTCACATTATTTAATAATGTTTTATTCAATAGTATAGTCTTGTGATAAAACTAATTTGTTTGAATTGAACTATTGGCTGTAAATGTTGACAAAACTCATAACAAATTATTTTTTAATTTTAAACTAGGTTATTTTTAAAGGAAAAAAGGAATGACGAGACATAAAATCTGAAAACCATGAAAAGATGCAGAACAGATGTTTCATATGTTAAGAAAACGACATCGCTGTTGCCATCTCCCAAAGAAAAAGCAAAAAGAATGAAAAATTAACGTTATTTGACCTGTGGGCCATGTTACCTAAAAAATAAAAGAGAAGCCAACGTCCACTCGACGTAAAAAAGAGAGAAGTTATATAGTACAGTGCAAAGGCTGGATTTATCTTGAAATTATGAATGTAGGCACGCGTGGCTGAACCACAATACCACGCATATATCTTTTTTTGTGCCCTTTTACATTCTCACAAGGGGCCATGACAGCAGTGCAGCGCATGATTCTCTCTCTCTCTCTCTCTCTCTCTCTCTCTCTGTCCCATGCGATTCTTTTCGAAGTGACACTTGTATGTGCAAAAAATTGAAATCATTGGATAACTCAATTCGTAAATTTATTCGCGCGATTGCTGCCTTTTGAGCCTAGTGCCTTTATTACCAATTGATGGCCATTCGAGCGTTATCGACTGCCGAAAAATCTCAGCGTGGACACTATGTGATTATATGTATATATAATGCATGAAAGATACATGTGACCACATACAAATACTAGGTTTCGAATTTCGATTGAGTATCGGAAACGAGAAGCTTTTTATCTTACAATTTAGTTGGTGAAATAGATATTAATAATATGAGGTCTTTCATAGTTGATTCGCCATTTATATACATGTACACTGCCTACAGACATAATGAATTATTGTACCATCTAATCCATCGGACAATTTAAATGTTTATATTAGTAGTTAAAAAGGATTATTTTCAATCTTATATGCAATTGAAAACTTTCTATTATTACTATAACAAATAATTTATGTAGTTACATTATTCTTATTCGAATTTAGAACAAAAACCAGAAAGATAAGAAGAAATGTGGTTTTCATAAGATACTAATTTGCATTGAGAAGACGTTCGACAATGTACGTAGTATGTATGAAAAGACGCGCTTGGTCTATTATAAGAAAACAAATTCTTATGACAACTCATAAACAAACATATAGCAAAGCGCTACAAAGTTCTTAAAACTTTTCAGCCCATACCACTTTCTACGTACATCTCGCTGTGTATGAGAATTGCGAATACAGTTGACACACATCCGTTATACGTCTGCTATACGCACTGACAATTGTACTTCTCGCATAAAGACGTCAAGCGTCTCCCTCGTTCTTTTGTGTATAGCTAAACGAACTATCTATCCTCTTACTCGCGCTTTCTTCTATGTAACGGGCTCACCTTTTTTTCGATCCGAGCGTAACTCCCCTTCAGGTTAAAACCCGATAAAAGAAAGAAGGAGCGTCGTATGAAAGTCCGCAATTTTTCATTCCCTCGTTATGTAGAAGCGTCGGTTGCGACGGAGGAGTGAATAGACGTCAACGGGCGAAAGAGCGACGCTTCCTTGAGTAATTAAATGATGATATCTTCCTCGCGTGTGGCCCAATCATTTCGATAGATTTTTCATTGTTGAACTTGCGCGCTTTCTATCCAGCGATGATTCGTGTGCTTTTGCCTCTTTTTTTTCGTTTTTTCAGCTTGAATGTGATCGTTCGCTGTCTAATTTTATTTTCTGATGGGATTTATTTGTATTCATTTATCGCTACAGCCTAAGAGCATCATTTACGGCAACGGAAATTTAAGGTTTCGTATACATGTGATGCACTGACAAGAGAAACAAAATTCCATTACTACAAATTGACGTGATGTTTTAAGAAATGATCGTGGAATCATTGAAACGATGGTTTGAAGAGGCACACGTCGTTGAAAAATGTAGCAGAATCGCGCATTTCTCCGCGAACACAGAATCAACACTAAACATCAAACGCACATGACAAAATAATTCTAATCCGTGCCAAACTGAAATCCCCCTCGATAAAGTAACAAACTGGCGTCGAATCTGCACATCGGTAGCACACGTGTTCGACTCCGTCCATCATATCTGTCGGCTCGTTTTTGGGGATCTCCTCTCGAACGAGAGAAAAGAGAGAAGTAAGAGGAAGAAAGAAGGTCTCCCTCTGTTTTGCTGCAGGCAGTAAATATATAGTGTAGAGGACACAAGAGAATCCGAACTCGACGCCCCTGTACAACAGGAGACAAACCGCACGCCTACATAAAGAATTAGCCGTAGAAAATATTCGTGTATACCTAAGCGCCGGCGCCTTGATTCATTATTGAGTAGGACGTTTTGCCGGAAATCTTGCGCATGAATAATGTGGCGCAAAGTCCTGGAATATACAACTGGAGTTTATAATTTGCATCTCTATACGCGTTGCCCGACGTATGTATGCCGCTGTTTATTTCAGGAACGATTGGTATTTTCTGCCCTATAAATGTTGAACAATTTTAAAAACCCATCCTTAATGACAATACGATTGTACTGAAAAATTCTGTTCAAATTTTCAATGAATCGATTACAAATAATTGTCGAATGTTTTAACCATCGTATATGACGTTGCTTACAAATTTTTATTTCGTCGCATCAGTGATATACACTTTGAAACAGAAGTAAATTAAATTGACGCGGAATCATCCCTTTCGTGCAAATAATTGTAACATGCTCGATGCAAAAACAGATTGTCCGTAATTAACAGTCCAATTCAACATAACAACGATGAGTGATTAATCAGTCTAGGTGAATGAACGAGCTGTTAAATCTTGAAATAATATGACAAGGATCAGCTTGAGCTAACAATTTACGTCAAACAAGCGCAAAATGATGTCTGTGATTCAATTGGTCGTCGCCGATGGTTATTTTGCTACATTTCACTTTTACGCCCTGTACTCTCTCTCTCTCTCTCTCTCTCTCTCTCTCTCTCTCTCTCTCTCTCTCTCTCTCTTTCTCTCACCCTCTTTCTGCTAATGGCACGAATTGTAGCCGAAAATCGAAATAAATGTAGTAGGAGTGCAAATCGCCCGTTGAAGCTTACTTATATGTTTTCCTTTCTACGACAATGAATCAATACAGATATACAAAGTATCGCTGAAGAATAGTCGGAATTATTGTACGACCGATTTTAAACGTTTAAATCAAAATTATTAAGCTAGACGTTAAATCTGTATCTGTTAACAAGTGTTGAACTGAACAAATAAATTTATATAGGAACAAAACCTTGTTATTATTCCGTATGTTTTTTGACTTTAACGGTTAATAAATCGCAAACTCGCAAGTCTCGCACTCTATATTCGAGTAACCCTTCGAATAAATCTCTACCCCTATATAACTCGCTCAACAGGTTCATGTAGGTGCCTCGCAATTGTAGCGTTCAATGCGCCTGTCGTAAAATTGAACACAGACTAATCTCAGCGGCTACACCACACTCTTAACAAATTAATAAACAATAATCGAACAAAAAACATTTAAAGAACAAACGTGAGTAGAAAGACACGGGTGTTAATGACAAGACTTCCAAGTGCGGTCCAATGAGGATTTGATGAGGGTGGAGCTTTCGCCGAATGATCTCCACCTACTCATATGCCCCCTCCTCCTCTTCTCTCACGCTCTCTCCCTCTCTCTCTCTCTCTCTCTCTCTCTCTCTCTCTCTCTCTCTCTCTCTCTCTCTCTCTCTCTCTCTCTCTCTCTCTCTCTCTCTCTCTGATCTGTCTGTTCACGCGTGCATCTTGACTCGTTTATAGCTGCCGTCGTTTCCAGCAGCAGTCGTGCTCCAGATTGCTCGCTGGGATAATCGAATTGTATCGGGCAGTAATTTTTTCGGGTTGTTTTCTTTGCTATTGTACCTGTGTGCGTGCTTGTGATATGATTTTCAGAGATTTATGCGGCGATGCTGTCCGAAACGGAGAATCAGTCTGCCGTATTGAATTCACACACACCCCAAGATTTTACGGTGTCGCGGCTACTCGCCACCTCGAATCATAACTTAGGTATGATGTTTCTATAAATCGCATCTTCTTTTCAATAGTTCTTTCACGGGTAAAGTGTTCAAGTGCTTGGCGTACAATTGGTGTCGTCCGCATTACAACGCGACATCGTGAAAAAAGTCTTTTTATCGCTCGATTGATGTATACAATAGATACATCTCGAAAAGTCGATTCGCGAATTTTTCGCTGAAAGCTTCAACTATTTTATACTGTAATTAATATTTTGTGATTGTTCTCGCTCCGAGACTACAGCGATCTGTATAATATTGTACGGATTGGTCACTCAGGTTTAGATACTCTTGACAATCATTGAAAAGCTTTCGCGTGATGACGTATTATGCAATTCCATTGAAAACACATTGTACGCGCATACTTCGAAGCTCATGCTGGTCGCGTTATGCCGCCCTGTTGGATACGCGCAGCTGTCGCGAGTGGAGCTTACAGTGCAAAGCATTGAGTCAATGCGAAATTTTCTTTCGCGCGACGAGTCCTGAAGAGAGAAACGCGCGCTACAATTCCAAATGAGCGCAAAATTGCGATCGTATTAACACACGCGCGGCTTATGACGGATAAAGAGACGAGTGTCTTGCTATTTTCGCGAGCTTACCGACAAGCTTTTCGCGATGAATGTACAAAAAACAAAGCGATGCTTGCTATGACTGCAGAATGTAACGAGATCACATCGGTGAGTGGTAGTAGACGACCAAGACGAAGTCGCACAACTTTCTCAGCTCAACAGCTTGCAGCCCTCGAGCGAGTTTTCGAGAGAACTCACTATCCGGACGCTTTCGTCAGAGAAGAATTGGCCACGAGAGTCTCGCTATCAGAAGGTCGTGTGCAGGTAACACAATCCATTTAGCTAAGCCGCGAATACGCTTTACATAAATCGCCGGGACCCCTTTGTCGGTAGACGAATGAAGAAAAAAAAAAGAGGAAGGAATGAAGCAGTTTAAATATAACGACGCACACACACGCGCGCGAGCGGAAAAAAAAGCGGCAGCGCAGCACAAGACGAGCACATGGCATGAGATTGGCGCTTGCGCGCGAGCGGACAGCAAGGCGGCAAATCGGAGGAGACAGGTTGTCAGTGGAGAATGCTATGATTAGCCTCTTGCCTCTTTCTGTGCAGTTTGCCTCTCCGTGTCGGACATACGAATCCGCGCCAGCTCACGTGCAACGATTTAGGCTCTTTTCCTTCGAGATTTCGGTCTTGGTTGTCTCATAAGCAAAGGCAAAAGGGGCAGATCGTTGACTGACACCGACGTTAGAGAGACAATAAACGATCATGAATGCAATTGAAGGTATGCGTGCTTTTTCCGAATCGAAGCTGTGGCGATATACGTAGACGAGCAATGTACAATTGACCATTACAAATTGCAAGCTCGAGTGAATTTATCTTGGTAGCAATGAGTTAGCGACACTTTATCCAGTGCCCGGACATTATTTTGGCGCAACGTCGATATCAGACTCTCAACGAAATTTGGGTGCCGTGTATGCGCGCGTGAGCGACTGCCAGGAGCCGTCACGCTGTCCCGTCGTCCGTCGTCGTTGTCGGCAGCGAAGGCTTCTTTTTTCTTCTTTCTTTCTTTTTATTTTAATTTTTTCTTCTGCGCCACGACATCGGATCTCTCTGTGCCGCGGCGGTGGCTCACTGTTTCCCCTCATCCGACGAAATCGAGGATCCGGCGCTCTCGCACGCATGGCTTCTTCATCTTCGGGCCGAGCCGCTTCTAACTTCTTTTTTTACCGCTGCTTCTTTATTCGGGTGGCTGATTTTTTGTTTCGAGGAAGAGTTGTTTTATTGTTTAAAGATATCAAATCTCTTTACTTACTGACTTTTGTTAGTTAAATTAATAATGTACAATGTCATAAATTTAATCTTATTTCTACGGTAGATGTGTGCATGTGTGTGTAAAAGCGTAAATTTCTTATGCTGGTTTCTGCAATAACAAAGTCAATTTTTCAACTTTTAAAAACCCTTCTGTAAATTATATATAGAACCGGTTAATTTAGATCAGAAATGATATGACAGTGATGCAAATTACACAGTAAATTTAATAAATTCTTTTGAATTTTTCGAAAAACCGTCTAAAGTTATTTGCCAACATTAATAATAATTATTATAGAAAATAATAAGATTCCTTAATAATACAAGTAGGAAGCACGCACATTTAATAATCAGATGACCAAAAGACTGAATACAAGCTACTATACGGCACGCGTGCATACCATTAAAAAAAGGAAAAAAAGGAGGAGGCAGTCCAGCGCGGTCTGGCTAATTGAAGGGGAAGACAGCAATGGTATAATGAAATTCTTCTGTGTTACACCCCGAAAACGGTGTATACATAATGTAGATGTAGCTTATTACATAATTATTATGCTAACCGTGGTCCCTTTTTTTATGAAAAAAGGTGGCGAACCCTCAAATTACATACGCGATGCATTTACACGTATATCATTACTTGTTATTCAGTACGATCCGTATAGTAACATGAAAACCCCCGCAATGCGTATGTGACGTAATTTTGTGGTTCCTTTTTCTTTTTCATTATGTTCGATCATATTCCCATTGTGGACTTTCCATCGTCGATCTGATTCTGACGGACGCAGAGACGCGCGTTTTGAACCCCACACAATTGGACCGGAAGTGGATAACACGTGTAATTAGAAAGAATAGCCATTGTGACTATACTTGTAATAATTTCATAAAATAGAGAAAGAAATGTTGTGCGTAGCCGTCAGCTTGAAATGTCATTATCAAATAGTTTCGATGGAGCCGTTACAATTCTATGTTGTCGATCAAATTAACAGAAAATGCCAGCTCTTGAACTCGCTACCTTCTGGGCAACAATTTTTGAAACTAAACTCTGTGTCGAGCTCTGTGTTCTCTGTGTTCAACAGAGAAATGCTGTCCATTTGAAAAAAAATTACTTGGAGCGCGCTAAGAAATCCAAAAACATTTTTCAAAAGTAACTGCAGCATTATAATGATTGCATATGTTTGGTATTACAAGTGATATGCATGATAAAGCGCGACGAACGATTTGACGCAGGTGTGGTTCCAAAATCGCCGAGCAAAATTCCGTCGGCACGAGCGCAGCTCAGCGATGAGCCGCGGCAGCGGTAGCAGCACGCGCGAGATAGAAGCAACGATACCCTTGCGTCCCATCCGTCTGAAGCCAATCAGCGAGCCAAGCAGCAGTCCCGAGTCCGTCCAGCAGCAACCAAATTCACATCAGCAGCCGCAGCAAAGCCCTGCGGCTCAGGTCAATCCTTACGCTTACAACGACTACTGGCGCCAGCAATCCTATGTGCCGTCGCCGACGGCAAGTGCCGCGAGTTTCGCTCTGCCCTCGTCTTATCATCACCATCATCATCAATCGAGTGAGCTTCATCATCACCATCACCATCATCTCCAGGGTGCGCTCAGGTTACGATCGCACCCCTACGCCAATGCGGCTGCTTACTCGGCGATGCACGCTAGCTTATGACTTCAGTCATTCACTGTTTCTTTTTCTTTTTCGAGTTTCTAAGTGATATTATAGTGTGCGATACTGTGTCAAGTGAAGTTAGTAAATTACGTTTGTACGTGCAACGAAACTACTTTGATCGATATTATTTGTATCATTTAGAATAAGTTATAAGATGTCTATTATACCACGCACGGAATAGTACATTACGATGAAAGTGCGGGAAAATAGATTCTTGTTTCGTGTAGCGTTTACACCCGAGCGAAGCGAAGCGCACTTGCATCGTAATGTACTATTCTATGATTTAACTCTCAAGTATATTCGCATGTACAATCACGTATATAATTATGCACTACAGCCTCGTCCAAAGATTGTATGATTATATGTGCTTTCGTGTTGATTAATTTCAAACCTTTTCAAATGCTGAATAGATAATATGAATTTGAAGTACCAAAGATATATCCTTCATATTTCATGTAAATTAGTTACAAAATAATGCAATGTATGGAGTATAAATAGGGAATAACAATGACTTATAATAACAAATGTTAATTTTGCGGGTCTTAGACAAACAATTTATTAGAGAAGATGTTATATATAAAGTACATAACGAAGATTACAATATTTTTTAAATGAGATATATGCATCTTATTTTTACTAATAATTTATAAAGCTATTATACAATTAATGCATGACGATGAAATTATGTCATAAAATAAGTTAAGTTACTTGCGATCGTATAACAATAATAATCTAATTTTTAAATATAATAAATGAATTAACATATAATCATGTACAAATACAAATATACAAAAACTGTATAAAGTTTAATTTGGCACATAGCAAAAATGTTGAGAAATTGTACTATTCGTGAAGCAGTTATGATGCTATTCAGAAATTTATTGATGTTTTTATCAAGCTCTTATTAAGTAAACTATTGTACAACACTCAGTCTGTTCTTGTTTAATTTCTATGTAACTATTTTTAGCGAAAAATCTACGAATATTTTTAGAAATTTAACTTGCAAAGGCTTGATTTTAACCATTATACCAACTTTGATTTTATCAATTACAACATTTAACTGGAATAACTTCACCTGTAACTTTACATCTAACTTAGCATTTAGCAAAGAACTTTCTTGTTGCATTACTCAAAAGAGCAATTTGTACATCATTTAAGATAAACATCAAATATTTTCAACAAGAAAAATATTTACTCGCCTCCTATCTCTTATTTTAACAAAATTTTTTAGAATTATAGTGATCCGTCCAGTGTTTCTTTTTTGTATTTTTGATATTAATAGTTATGAAACTTTGAGTAGAATACAACTAATTTTTAATAAATGATCAAAAAAACTTACACTTAAAATTACACTGTTGATTGGACATTTTGTACAGCATTACTCCAATCAACTTTAGAAGGTACAAGATAGAAAGCTGGAGCAATTTTACTGCCACATGGACATTGACATCCTGATATCCAACTAAAAGATCCAAGTTTTGATGCACACTTTGGACAACAAAGTTTCCCATCAACTTTATGTAGAATATTTGGCATCCAAGCCAGTGGTTCAACAAAATAAGTCTTATTACAAAGCTCATTATTCACCCCCTCTTTTTCTTTGTTTCCTGCTTCTATAGGTTTTTGAGCAATTTTGGTTGTTTTTGTCATTTTATCATAACGTTTGCTAACATGTCGCCAAATTTGTTTTTCTCCTTGTCTATGGGGTAAAATATTGCTAGCATTGGCAACAATTCTGCGACACTTTTTACAACGGTATACAGTTGGTTCTGGATGAGTTGTAGGAAGAGCTGGATCTGACTTGATAAGATGAATATAATTTTGAGGTAGAATTCTAGCTTTTCTAACTTTATCTGCAGCGATTTGAAGTTGAAACATTTTGAATTGTACATTTGTACAGTCAAGTGTGAAGTCCATATCTTCGTACAGTTTCAGTTGAGCTATAAAACCTGGATTTGGGCCAACAAAGCGACGTTTCTTTTTCACAGCCTCAAAAGCATCATTATAAGATAAATTATACTTTTTCATAATAAATGCAATAACAATAGTTGCTGAACGAGATATACCAAAATAACAATGGACTAGAATCTTTCCTCCAGATTTTAACGCACTTTGGATAAACTGATTGGAATCTTCAAAAGATGTTAACAAATCTTCTCTTGGCATATCTGTCATTTGCATGTACTTTAATTTTATATCCGGTAAAGCATCTTCAATTTTCCTAGGTAATGGACAAGAATCGACAGTGAGAATATGAGTAATTTTTGCCTGTTTCAACCAATCTATATCAGTTGCAGCAGTTAAATTTCCTAAGTATAAATTTAGTTCTATTTCATCATAGCTAGATGGTCCTGCATCAAAATCCTCTCTGGTTAAATCATCATCAACTTGTTTAGCCATCATTGCTATACCTATAAATTGTTTTTAATTAGTTTTTTTTGTAATACCTACAAGACACCTGTTAAATTAATTAAATTCACGAAGAAATTTCTAATATTTAGACTAGTCTTTTGTACACTTTTAAATGAAAAATATCACATAATCGTAACTGTATTTTACTGAAATAATTATCAAATACGTTAACAACCGCGCTTATAATTACTTATTGCTAAAGCTACAAAAGTAAAACCAGCTATAAATATTTACAAAGATAACCTTTTAAAATGAATAAACTTTTGCGTATACCTAATATATCCAGTCTTGTTCATTTTCATCTGCATATACTAATAACATTAAATTTTATTCTTTGAGACATCGTAGAGCTAATCTTGGTAAAACATAATACCAAATTATTTTTCCGCAATATACCTCATCTGTATACTACTAAACAGTTAATGATCGAATAAGAATAACACAGGTCAAAAATACGCAGTGAAAATGTACAATAGTATTGATTTCCTACCGTTATGACATTTATTATACTCTTTAACACAATAAACCTTTATTTGAATGTTATCATTTTTTTCAACGTTGCACTCTTAATATATGTACATCTTTGTCGAATTGCCGATCGAATGATAAATTTAACTTATGCACTAGGGAAAAAATGAAATGCTTAATTGCTAGCCTTGCTACCGCAGTACCACACTGCTGCAATCTCCCTACAATGTACTGTATCTCTGTATCAGTTAGGTCTAAAAAGTTAGCACCCAGAATCCTTTTTTTTAAGCTAATCGATAAACTAATTATACCGTTAGATATTTCGTCAGAATAGCAACAACTTTTCTCTTTGTCGTTTGTTGGTTCGTCCACTGGAAATCCTTAAAATTAATAAAATAAGTCTTAGGTGCTGGCCTTAGCACCCAAACCAAAGTTGCGGTCAAACTTAGAAAATATTAAGTAAAAAAAATTCGTAAGTAAACCGATCGTTAGTTCGTCTTACGAACTAACAGCACCCATAATAAAATCATGACTAATTTGATTATTTAAGCAACTAAAAATAAAAAACTGTTTCGAATATTGGCTCACGTTCAAACGCCAAAACGCGGTACGCATGCTTCCTGAATTATCCCCGCCGGTACGCGAACCCCCGCTCTTATTTTTTACTACACCTGTTTGATTTTAATATATTAAATATTATTTATTATTAAATTATAATTATTTATTATAAATTATAATTATTTATTTTAATATATTAAATATTATTTATTATTAAATTATAATTATTTATTATAAATTATAATTATTTATTTTAATATATTAAAATCAAACAGGTGTAGTAAAAAATAAGAGCGGGGGTTCGCGTACCGGCGGGGATAATTCAGGAAGCATGCGTACCGCGTTTTGGCGTTTGAACGTGAGCCAATATTCGAAACAGTTTTTTATTTTTAGTTGCTTAAATAATCAAATTAGTCATGATTTTATTATGGGTGCTGTTAGTTCGTAAGACGAACTAACGATCGGTTTACTTACGAATTTTTTTTACTTAATATTTTCTAAGTTTGACCGCAACTTTGGTTTGGGTGCTAAGGCCAGCACCTAAGACATATTTTATTAATTTTAAGGATTTCCAGTGGACGAACCAACAAACGACAAAGAGAAAAGTTGTTGCTATCCTGACGAAATATCTAACGGTATAATTAGTTTATCGATTAGCTTAAAAAAAAGGATTCTGGGTGCTAACTTTTTAGACCTGGGGGCCTATTCTGAAAAAAAATTTTGTGGTAAATCAGTTTGTCACTTCAGTTTACCACAGAATTAATCACTTTAGATGTGATAAATGCTTATGACATGTGCTAAAATTTTTTTTCAGAATAGGCCCCGTGCTAAAATTTTTTTTCAGAATAGGCCCCCTGTATCAGTTACTCCATTAAGAGAGCACATTTTGAGTTTTTCTTTTCTTCTTATAGATGGCTCTATCTTGTCATGCAACTTTGGGTGCGTCTGATTTAGCCATCGTGCCGTTCTTCAGTGCTGAGAATCCGACCCTTCAATCAAAAAGTTCTTTTTCTATAGTTATACCGTTTCTAGGTATGTTTTCAATCCATCGGCTACATGATTCGGCTTCGTTCCACGTTTCACTTGTTAATATCATATCAATTTAAAATTCAGGGCAATCGAAAACAATTCATTATACGTCAGAACGTAAGTAATTGATTGGACTGATTGAGCTACTAATAAAAAAATATTTTTAAAATCGAATATTAAAGAATAAAAATACTTTGCTGAAATAATAATAAAAACAAAAACGTTATTTAATATTTGATTTTTTTTTAGATTCGCTCATAAAAGTTCTAAGTAAAATTGGCAAGTGCCCTTGGAGAACTAAGCACCCAATTATCATAATTTTGCCGCCCAGATCCTATGGAAAATAAATTATCCAATAAGGAAATCAAAAGAAGACAAATAGAAAATATTGTGTGTGTATATATATATATATATATATATATATATATATATATATCAGAGTGAAAATTAAGAACGTTGAACTAAAAATTATATTAATACTATTCAAAATACAATATCACAACATGTAAATTTATCTGCTTTCTTAGTTGTATAAGATGTTAATTTATTACTCTTATTTTTTATTCTATTGTAGGAAGACAGAGGTAGACAATGGCTCGGTAAACCATTTAAAATTCCAATCCCTGGCTATGAATATTCTGGGCTAACTCTTGGTTTACACTTTGCTGGTCCTTGAAGGCTCTTCATGATCCAGATGAACTCAATGCTCTTGTTGTATACACACCTCCAAAGATGACAGAGCATGAAAACTTAAAGATTGACAAGTGAGTAATATGCATTTTATGGAATGTTAGTTAAACCGAAAAATTAGCCTATGATACGTTTCAAAATGATTTTATTCTTTATAGAACAAAAAACCTTGTTCACATAGTGGTTGATCCACTTTTATGCAATATTTTAAGGCCTCATCAAAGAGAAGGTGTCAAATTCATGTACAAATGTGTTACTGGTAAAAGAATAGATAATGCAAATGGATGTATCATGGCTGATGAAATGGGTTTGGACGAAAACTTTGCAATGTATAATTTTGACATTTTCAAATGACTACAAAATCAAGTTAAACCTCTGGCAATAGATTACGTCAGCAAAGCTGATATAGAAAAAAAATGGACTGGATTTATGAAAACCTATGATCGACAATGTACCAATCCAATCCTTATAATTAGTTATGAAATTCAGATTATACACTCATGTATTACATCAGGATGAAGTAGATTTAGTTTTGTGTGGTCAAGGACATTGATTAAAAAATTATGAAAATTAAACTTATCAAGCATTTATGTGTTTAAAAGTCTAAAATGAGAGTTTTATCGAGTGGAACTCCTATGCAGAATGACTTATTAAAACACTTCTCTCTAGTTTATTATGTTAATGCAGGATTATTGGATACAGCTCAATGGTAAAGCATTTTCATTCCACATTTTGCATATAAAATTTATTGTAAAACTTGTTTCACAGGAATTTAGGAAAAATTTTGAAATTCCAATCTTCGAGAACAAAACCTTGCTGGCACCATTGATAAAGAATACCAACTAGCTTAAGAAAGCTTATGAGAGTTAGTCACAATTGTAAATAAATGTCATTAGATGTACTAATGTCTTACTATCAAAATATCAAAATTGCCTTTAAAGTATGAATTGACAGTCTGCATAAAAATGACTAAACTACAAATACAGCTGTACAAAAACTTCGTTAAGAGCGACAATATTAAAAGGTCCATACAAGGAATTTTCATTTGATCATAAACCAATAAAATCTTCACACCATTTGCCACGAGCAATTTATTTAGTTTAGAAGCTTATTTTTTCTATACTATTTAAACAAAATATTATTGTCTTTTGTGTTTTATAATTCTTTATGGCTCCTAGATTAAAAGAAAATATATGTAAATTTTGTTACAATAATTAAAATTATGCATGTGACAGATATTTTTTAAACGTGTTTACCTAGAACATTATATTTTTTCTTGTCAGAACGATGAATTAGAATTCATCCTTGAACGAACCATTAAATGCAGCTGCTTCAGTAAATAATTCAATATATGTATACGAGTTTTCCACGAAATTAGTTATAAAAGAATCGATTTCATTTGTCCAAGTTCTAGAAATAATAATATGTTGGAGGTAAATCAACTTGTACATCTAATTTCTTTAAAATTCCTATACCTTCAGAAGATTATCACTTACGAAACTAGTAGATTTTATTAAACTTTCAAGATATTTCACTTTTTTCGTATATTTTTCGAAATTTCATAATTTTTCACTTTCTTCATCAAATTGTCGAAATTTAAAAATTTTTTATTTTTTTGATAAATTTGACGGAATTTCAATATCCAAATTGACGAAGAAAGTGAAAAATCATGAAATTTCGAAAAATTGACGAAGTGAAAAATCACGAAAGATTGAGAAATTGGGTTATAGTTAAATTGAACAAAAAAGAGAAAAATATTGAAATTTCGTTAAATTTACGTACGAAGTGAAAAATTCTAAATTTTCGAAAACTTTACGAAGACAGTGAAAAATCATGGAAGCTTGAAAAATTGGGTTATTGGGTTGGGTTATAGATAATTTGAAGAAAGTGAAAAATCTTGAAATTTCGAAAGATTGACCAAAAGTTGGAAAATCATGAAATTTCGAAAACTTTACGAAGAAAGTGAAAATCATGAAAGATTGAAAAATTTGGGTTAGGTTATTGGGTTATTGGGTTATAGATAATTTGAAGAAAGTGAAAAATCTTGAAATTTCAAAAAATTGGCCAAAAGTTGAAAAATCTTGAAATTTTGAAAAATTGACGAAGAAAGTGAAAAATCTTGAAATTTTGAAAAATTGACGAAGAAAGTGAAAAGTCACGAATGATTAAAAAATTGGGTTATTGGGTTCTTCTACGTAAATTGTAAGAATTTAAAAAAACAATTTTGTTTTGGAAACCACGCGGGATGTAAAGTGGGATTTCACTAGCGGATTCAATTTTTGGAAATCCTATGTTAGATACCATGAGGAAGTTCGGATACATTCTTAATTTACCGGAGGCCCATGTTGGTTCCGATATGGAATCCCACTTAGGAATTTCTATCAAATCCCTGGATGGGCTCCCATAAGAGATCCTATGTAAGAACCCACATAAGATCCATATAAGGGATCCTATCCGGGGTCTTCCGACCGGGGAAGGTTTGCCTGGACGAGCTTGACAAGATGACCTCTTGGCCATGGATATCGCCTCCGTTACCCTACTTCTGCTCTGTTTAATGAGCTTCTTCCTACCAAACCCTCGGTAACTTCTGACAAACAATAACTTCAAACAACAACTCCTCCTCCGATTTGTCAGAGGCTTCTGACGGCAAATCCGATATCAAAGGACGCTTCCCTCCCATTGAATGAGTCCAAAAAGAGCATTGGTTTTCTATCAAATATTATATGGACGCGTTAAGTCTTACAGCCAGATGCTCGATTAACACCCCTGGCTCCGTTCACCTCTATATGAACTCTACTGACGACTTCCGTCAATTAAACTTCAAAATGGAAGCTGAAAAAATGTAGTACACCTCCCACCAAGTATGCCAGGACTTCGACCTAGAGGTCGTCATTCATGGCGTCCTTGAATGCCACTCAAATGATGAGATCAAGGCCAAGCTTCTGCTCAAAAAACTTCCCGTCAAGTCA